AAAAAAAAAAAAAAAATGCAATCTTAAGATTTGTATGGAACCATAAAAGAGACTCTGTGTAGCTCAAGCAATCTTGAAGAAAAGAACGAAGTTGGAAGCATCAAACTATCTGACTTAAAAATATCCTATAAAATTATAGTAACCTAAACAGTATGGTAAGTACTGACATAAAAACAGACAAACTTACTAATGGAACAGAATAGAGCCCCCAAATAAACCCACTTATTTACAGCCAAATGATTTTTGACAAAGGTGCCAAAAATATACACTGGGGAAAAAGCCTCTTCAATAAATGGTACTGGCAAAACTGGTTATCCACACACAGAATAATAAAATTAGCCCCTATTTCTCACAATACAGGAAAGTTAAAGTGAATTAAAGAGCTAGCTAAATTTAAGACCCAAAACTGAAACTACTAGAAGAAAACAGACAAAACACTATACAAAATGAGAGTGGGCAGCATTTTTTTGAGTGAGACTACAAATGCACAAGAAACTAAAGCAAAAAATACCCAAATGAAACTAAAACTAAAATGCTTCTGCACAGCAAGGGACACAATCAACAAAGTGAAGACACAGAGTGGAAGAAAATATATGCAAACTACACCAGACAAGGGGCTAACATAAGGAACTTAAACAACTCAAAACAAACCAATTAAAATACGGGCAAAGGACCTAAACACTTTCTCAAAAGAAGACATGCAAATGGCCAACAGACACATGAAAAAATGCTCAACATCACTAATCATCAGGGAGATGCAAATTAAAACCACAATGAGATGTCATCTTACCATAGTTAGAATGGCTATATTCAACAAGACGAAATAACAAAACACTGACAAGGATGCAGAGAAAAGGGAACCCTACGTTGCTGGTAGGAATGTAAATTTGGCTTGGGGGGGGGCGAGTAAATTTGGGGTCTGGAAAGGGTCCTTTTCCTCATTTGCAGATGGCCATCCTCTTGTGATTGATCATCTCTCATGTGATTGAGAGAAATCTTGTGTCTCTTCCTCTTGTAAAGTCTTTAATCCCATGATGAGGGCTCCAACTTAATGACCTAATCCAACCCCAGTTACCTCCCAAAAACCCCACTTCCAAACACCATCAAATTGGGGAGCAGGGTTTCAACATATGTTTGGGGGACAGAAACATTCAGTGTGTAGTCTTTTTTTTTTTTAACAGCCATTTATTAAATGCCAGGCCCTTACTTGAGTTGTCTTTTTTTTTTTTCCATTTATTTATTTGTTTTTCATTATTTTACATTTATTTATTAATATTATTTTTTTATATTCTAAGATGTTAGGGGGAGGTGGAGCGGGGAAAGAAACATGGTGGGAGAAGAAGGAAGGAGGAGGGGTGTGGTTGAAGCCTCTGACACCCCCCTCATTCCTGCAAGGGAGAAAAGGGGGCTTTCAGCGGGGGCTCAGTCATTGCTGGGCTGGATTCAGATGTCAGAGGGTCGTGGCTGAAGCCCTCAGCCCCCCCCACTGCAGCTGAGGAGACCAGGGGACTTCCAGCGGCATCTCTGTGGTCATTGCTGGGCTGGTTGCAGATGTCAGGGGGCATGGCCAAGGGCTTCAGCCCCTCACCACCCTGGCTAGAGAGCCTGGGGCACTTCCAGCAGTGACTCAGTGGTCATTGCTGGGTTGGTTGCAGGTGTCAGGGGGCAAGGCCGAGGCTCCCAGCCCTCCTTCATCCCTGGCTTGGGGGCCCAGGGGGCTCCCAGTGCTTCTAGGTTTTATACGTGTTCTTTAGTGCTGTGAGACCTTTACTAGTTAATATCAAACTTTGTCTCTGGTCTGTGGGTATTTTGTTTTTT